CCTGGTGCCGAAAAACCAGTAACAACGGTGCCAGGCGGACCTCTTTGGGGAGTGAATTCCATAGGTTGGGCGCCACCGCAGAGAAAGCCCTCCTCCGAGTACTTACGCTCCTAATTTCTTTCATGGAGGGTTCCCGGAGAAGGGACTCCCACAGATCTCAAAGGGTGGTCGGGCATATACGGATGTAAGCGCTCGTTCTGGTAGCCAGGACCCAAGCCATTTAGGGCTTTATAGGTCATAATCAACACCTTGAATTGGGCCCGGGCTTCAATGGGAAGCCAGTGAAGCTGACAGAGGACTGGAGTCATGTGAGCATAATGCCCCGTCCCCGTCAGCAACCTGGCAGCTCTATTTTACACCAATTGAAGTGTTTGGACCATCTTCAGGGGAAGCCCCACGTAAAGCGCGTTACAGAAGTCTAGGCGGGAAGTCACCAGCGCGTGTGTCACCGTCGCCAGGCAGTCGTACTCCAGGTAGGGGCGCAGCTGATTAATCAGCCAAAGCTGAAGGAAGGCGCTCCTCGCCACCGCTGTCACCTGAGCTTCCAAAGAAAGCTCCGGGTCGAGGAGTACTCCTAAGCTGCGGACCTTGTCCCTAAGCGGGAGTGTTGCACCATTCAGGACCAGGTCAAATCCACCCTCTCCGAAGCCCGATCCGCCAACCAACAGGACCTCCGTCTTGTCTGGGTTGAGTTTCAGTTTATTGGCCCTCATCCATTCCATTACCTCGGCCAAGCACCGGTTCAGCACAGCCACTGCCTCACCTGGATTAGTGGAAAACGAGAGGTAGAGCTGGGTATCATCAGTGTATTGATGATTCCGCAGCCCACACCTCCTGATGACCTCTCCCAGCAGTTTCATATAGATGTTAAATAGCAGAGGGGATAGAATGGAGCCCTGTGGTACTCCATGGCATAGCTGCCATGGCGCAGAGACATAGTCCCCCAGCACTACCTTCTGGAATCGACCGTTGAGATAGGAGCGGAACCATTGCAAAGCAGTGCCTCCAACCCCCAATCCCGCTAGCCTATCCAGAAGGATACCATGGTTGATGGTATCGAAAGCCAGCGAGAGGTCCAGGAGAATCAACAGGGACGTACTCCCCCTGTCCTTCTCCCTGCACAGGTCATCGTACAGGGCGACCAAGGCAGATTCAGTACTGTACCCAGGTCTGAAGCCGGGGTGTTGATAGGAGTTCTGTTCCCATGTCCATCCGGGAGCTCTGCCCCATGAACTGCCAACCTCTACCCTTGGGCCCTGGGTCCTGGGCCTCAGATCCTTAAATGACCAAACCATGTGACTATTGGGAGGCTTTTCTGGAGCAGGTCTGATGGATACATTAATGAAAATTATTGAAGGAAACCAAGGAACAGTCAAATGGTCCCACTTAGTCTCAGGGGTTTGGTTTAGGTCATTTCACAGAAGAATTCACAAAAATGAACTCTTCCAACATCTCTCAGCCAAGAGTGGACAGGCGGGGAAGACCTATGACCAGCAAGAGTCCATGGGGAGAGCCGTGAGCCAGGAAACGCACTCCCCAGCCTTGCTGTTAATTCACCGGGTGCCTTTGGGCAGACAACTGTCCTTCCTAGACTTCATTCTGGCATTTGGAAACGAGCATGGGAAGAATGCTCTCTGTGGCATGGAAGGCAAAACAGAACTGCTTTAACATATTTGAAATTGTGTGTCTGTGCCCAGTTGACCCAGAATTCCTTGTGTTTAGGCAACAAGGTCAGCGGGCTGTTAAAAGGGAAACACCTTCATCATAAGGTTCCAGGGAGTGAGAAGCTGGGATAGCTGGTGGCAGCAGAAACAGCAACGAGTCTTGTGGCAAGCGAAAGACCATCTCATATATGGCGGCAGAAGCTTTTGTAGACTGGATTCCATTCCATCAGTTGTGCTGCTCAGCTGGCAGGCATCTCAAGAGATGTGCAGCTGCATGGTCTCCACTCTTGCAGAACCACTGGGTACTCTCTGCTGCAAGAATTTCAAGAGGGGTGACCATGTTAAAGGAAACATTTTGCCTGTACCTTTGTACACAGGCACATATTCAGACAAGAACAGAGAGACAGAGAGGCCTAGGACCACAGTTGGAAAAGTTCCTGTGTGTACCATGATGCGATTTTATAAAAATAGCAAATATAATTTCAGAGTTAAACTCAAAATGTTGTTTTATGCACTTGCATGTAGGGGATGGAATTATGGTGTTTGTATGGGGAAGAGACTGAGAACTACCAGAAGTGCAGGCAGGGTTTCGAAGAGGCAGAGGAACTAGAGATCAAACTGGCAACATACACTGGATCATGGAAAAAGCTAGGGAGTTCCAGAAAAACATCTACTTCTGCTTCATTGACTATGCTAAAGCCTTTGATTAATTGATCACAACAAATTGCAATAAACTCTTAAAGAGATGGGAGTACCAGACCATCTTATTTGTTTCTTGAGAAACCTGTATGTGGGTCAAGAAGCAATAGTGGGAACTGAACATGGAACTACAGATAGGTTCAAAATTGGGAGAAGAGTACAGCAAAGCTGTATATTGTCTCCCTGCCTATTTAACTTATATGCAGAGCACATCATGAGAAAGGCTGGGCTAGATGGATCACAAGTCAGAATTAAGATTGCTGGGAAAAATATCAAGAACCTCAGATATGCAGATGATACCACTCTCATGGCAGAAAGTGAAGAGGAACTAAAGAGCCTCTTGATGCAGGTGAAAGAGGAAAGTGCAAAAGTTGGCTTGAAATTCAACATTAGGAAAACAGATCATGACATCCGGTCCTATCACTTCCTGGCAAATAGATGGGTAAGAAATGGAGGTAGTGACAGATTTTATTTTCCTGGGCTCCAAGATCACCGCAGACGGGGACTGCAGCCAAGAAATTAAAAGAGGCTTGCTCCTTGGGAGGAAAGCTATGGCAAATCTAGTCAGTATACTAAAAAGCAGAGACATCACCCTGCTGACAAAAGTTTGTATAGTCAAAGCTATAATCTTCCCAGTTGTATTGTATGGCTGTGAGAGCTGGACCATAAGGAAGGCTAAGCACTGAAGAATTGAGGCCTTTGAATTGTGGTGCTGGAGAAGACTCCTGAGAGTCCTTTGGACTACAAAAAAATCAAATCAGTCAATCTTAAAGGAAATCACCCCTGACTGCTCTTTAGAAAGTCAGATACTGAAGATGAAATTCAAATACTTTGGCCATACAATGAGAAAGAAGGACTTACTGGAGAAGACCCTCAGGCTGGGAATGATTGATAGCAAAAGGAGAAGGGGACGGCAGAGATTGAGGTGGCTAGATGGAGTCACTGGGGCAGTGGGTGTGGGCTTGGGTGGACTCCGAGGGATGGTGGAGGGCAGGAGAGCCTGTAGGAATGTTGTCCAAGGGGTCATGATGGGTCAGGCACGACTTTGCAACAAAACAAAATGGGGAAGAGATCACATGTTTAAATTATAAGACTTCCAGATTATCGGCCATATTGATAAATGGTTAAGGCATTCTACGTGATTTTAAACTGGCCTTGTTCCACTGTTGAGGCTGATTTTTAAATGGGTTAAAGCTAAAGTCAAACATCTCCATCCAGCAGAAGGATTTGCAGTTTGAATAGCATGCCAATATCCACTATTATTCACTAGAAATTTAATGACAACTGCTTTGTGCAGTGCATAATTAAAACAGAGAAGTCACTTCAAGATGCAATGATGGGCAGGAGCAGAGTAGCCTCATAGTCGAATTGCACTAATCCAGGAAGCATCGACCTTCCAGTGGGTATTGGCTCCAATACCAATATCCATCTGTAGTTCCATCTGCAGAAGCAGAAAACCTGTGAATACCAAGAGCTGGGGAGTAACAAGAATGTGGCTGGCCAGTTCTGGAAGCAGAACATTGAGCCAGAAGAGGCTTTGATCAAAAGCAGAAGCGGATCGTTTCAAACAATAGGATGGAGATAGTGCAGAACACAGAATGGATGTGGTAAGCCCAGCCCAACAAGAACAATTAAGGGAAAACATGCAACCCCTGTGCCCTAGAGCTTATGTACCATGGAGCAAACTTGTTCCTCAGAATTTGGGATGCGGTGAATTGAAGACTCGATTAATGAGAACGGAAAAAACCATTCCTGTTCACAGTCGGGAATGCAGATTCCCAAGAATGGCAGGATTGCTGTTTCCTGAACTTGCATTCATGTCAAAAACTGGACACTTGCAAGTCTGCATTTCCAAAACTGTCACAGAAGAATCCCTGGCTGCATTTTTACACTGTCTACTCTCAGGGAAAGTGGACATTTGAGAAACAAACTTCAAAAATGCACTTATTTTCTAGCCGGTGTGCATAGCTGTGTGCATGCATGTGAAGAAACTTTCTAGAATGTGAATTATGTGAACTGAGCTTTGAGAAATATTTCAAGGAACCTCAGTGAACCTGAATATATAAGAAACTTCGAAGTGTTTTTGTTGATGAAATACAGGAAATTCTGGGTATCTTTCTGGAACACCCATTCTGTTTTGTTTTTGTTTGTTCCCTGAACACGGATGGCAAATCCCTGTGTACGTCCTTGAAAGCCACCTTCTTCTTCCAGCTATGCCCTGAAGTAATTAACTCATCAATGACTTTCCCCGCACTGATATAGAAAACAAAAATATGGGAGTTCATGGCCCTAAGAACAGGGTGGTTGTTGGGAGTGGGAAGAAGAGAAATGAGCAGCAGGAGCTTTTGGAGGACCGCTGGGCAAGGCACCCTCAATGGTTCCTTCCATGTGTATATTTAGTTTTTCACCACCATTGCCACCTACTGCTTTTGTCCTCCTCCTCCTCCTCATTGAATTACAGAATCAAATAGTTGGAAGGGGCCAGAGGGTCATCAGGTCCAACCCCATTCCTAGTGCATGACTCCAAGTTAAATGATCCCTCTCAGAGGGCGGTACAGCAGCATCCTCAATGTCTCCAGTGTGGGAGAGCCACCACCTCCCCAGGTCATGGGTTCCATTGCTGTAGTGCTCTAAAAGTGAAGTTATTCCTGATGTTTAGCTGGAACCTGGCTTCCTTGAACCCATTATTTCATGTCTGTCACTCTGGGATGATTGAGAAATATGGAAACTGAGTGAGTCAGAAAGAGCCTCCCGGGCCATCTATTCTGACCCCCAGCTCACACCAGCTCCGCTCATGACAGGCCTACCATGTCCAGCCTATCCTTGAACACCCTCACTGATGGGGCTTCAACCACCTCCCGTGGAAACCCATTCCATACCCTTGCAGTTCTAACTGTCAGGAAGTACTTCCTGGGATCCAAATTGAACCTTGGTTCCTTTAGCTTGGCTCCATTGGAGCACATCCTGCCTGCCTCTGCAGGGGAGAACAGGTCTCTACCCACCTTCGCGTGACACCCCCTCAGATTCCCTCAGAGTCTTCTCTAGGGTGAAAAGACCCAGTTCCCTCAGTCTCACCTCATATGGCTTTTTCTGCAATCTGACCACTATCCTTGTGACCCTACACTGTACGGATTAATCACATTTGAAACAACATTACTGAACACAATAGTCTAGTTGCAGGTGCACCACAGTCATATAGAGTGGCAGTAATACCTTTCTTCATCAAGAAGCCACACTTCCGGCTGTGCAACCAAGGGCCACGTGGCGTTCACCCTCTCGATCACCGCATCACACTGCTGACTCATGTTTAGCCTGAAGTCAACCAGCACCCCGAGGTCCCTTTCACAAGTGCTGCTCTTCAGCCACTTGTCCCCTAACCTGTACTTATGGCACCCATTTCTTTGCCCCAGGTGCAAGAACTTGCACTTATCCACACTGAACGCCATCCTGTTGTCTCCTGCCCACTTCCATAGTCTGTCCAGATCCTTCCGGATCCAGAGTACCTGCTTCTCAGTTCTGGCCACCATCCCCATTTTAGTATCATCTGTAAATTTGATCACTGGTCACCCCTCTTCCATGTCATTGATGATTCCCCACTAATGGTCACCCTCTGCCTTTGGTCAGTCAACTATGCCCTAATCCAAAAGACTGTGCTTTGGTGTATCCCCAAACTTCTCAGTTTCTCTACCAGGACATCATGGGGCACTTTGTCAAAGGCCTGGCTGAAATCCAGGTATACCACATCCACTGCACCCCCTCCATCTAGCCATCTCGAAATCTTGTCATAGAATTCCACAAGATTTGTCTGGCACGACCTGTTTTTGCGGAAGCCGTGTTCTGTGGCCACCAACCTCCCTTCCCTATCTAGGGTTACTAGATCTCTTGCTATTATGAGCCTTTCCATTGTTCTTCCTGGAATGGCCATAAGCCAACTGGTCTGTAATTCCCCAAGTGCTACACTTCTTGAAAACTCCACCCCCCTTTCTGTTCTTGAACAGGTGAGATCCATCAGTTGTCGAATTCCAGTCATGGGAGTCCTCCCACCAAGTTTCAGTTCTGCCTATCAGGTCCTGCTCCCCCTCCTGTATTAAGAGTTCCAGTCCATGCTGTTTGTTTGTCAGGGCACCAGTATATTGACAATGGAAACCACATGCTACATACTCTAGCTTTCTTCCTACATTTTTTGGAAGGCTGATGTTGGCCTGCTACCACTTATTTGCTTCACAGGAAGAAAGCCTATTCCCAGTGCTCAGGCCTCAAGGTCAAACATTAAAATTCATAAAATTTAAACATTCAAAAATAGACAAAAAGTTAAAATCTTAATTATAAAATATACAAAACTGATCCATTGCAAACTCACAGGCTGTTTCCACATGCTGGCTGGAACTAAAGCAGCTTTTTGCCTGATTTTAGAAACCCATCCGGGAAGGTGACAACCTTGCCTTCTTGGGAATGGAATTCTAGGGCCACGGGGCAGCCACAGAGAACGTCCTCTTCATGTTCCCACCAGGCATATCTGTGAGAGTGGTAGGATCAAGGGAAAATCAGGATAGATGGTGCAACAGATGTAAACTGATTCATTTCTTGCACGTATACACTACCTTCCCTCAAAGGAGCACAAGACAGTGTGCATGATTTTCTTCCTTTCTATCTTATCCTGACAGCCCTGTGAGGTAGGCTAGGCTGAGAGCCCAAAAGTGATCCCAAAGGACACAGTGAGCAGCTAGACCAGGTGGGAATTGCATTAGGTCTGCCAGCCCTAGCCTGGCAGTCCAGTCACTCCACTGCACTGCCTCTCAGCAGGTGGCTAGCCAATGCTCTGTGAGAGCCCTTTCTGCTGCTGAAAGCTCCTCCGTCCGCTGGCCCGTCCCTCCATGCCTACGCTGAGCCCATGCTCTGAAAGGCTGCACTTAGCAATTCCTAAAGCTCTTAAGGAAGCAATTACAGTCTTGATCACTCACAAACGGAGCCTTTTTTTCCTGCTTGACACTGATCCTGTGATACTCTCCCCACTTAATCCTCACTAGCAATTTGCCTATAGTTGCTGCTAACAGGGGGTGATTAGAGGGGAGTTTCTTGCTGGCTTTTACTCCTGTTGCACTGGAGGCTAGTGAATCAAAGCTGTTTTCCTATTAACTCAACACCTCCTAAAGTGCAAGGCCCACTTTTATCTAATAACAGGGCTCAGCTTTTAACATTATTTTAATGTTATCTGTTGAGCCTTTTTAAAATGCCAGTGTGAATGTCTACCAAAGCGGGGGGTGGGGGGACAAGAAATTATAATTGAGTAATTTTGCTTTGTGTGTTTTGTTTTCAGTGGTGCAAATTATTAAGGAAGGGGATGAAAATAAAACCACACATATCCTAAAGTGATTATAAAAGCATAGGAAAGCCCTGTTAGGTAGATTAGGCTGGAAGACCGGGGCCAGCTCAAAGTCCCCCATGAATAGAGACTAGATGAATAGGGACTAGAGCCTGGTGCTCCCAAGTCCCAGCCCAACTGTAACCTCTACACCACACTGGATCTCCTTTATCTGCTGACAGGCACAGCCTTAAACAACTTGGGACTAGGGAACCTGGGGATGCCCATGCCTGCTCTTCGCAAGCACCACTTCTGAGGGTGCCACATGGGGTGCTCTGTTTGCGGGAGAGAGTTCAGCATCACAGCACTCACTCGCCAAAACACTGGGCAGCTCTCCAGAGTTCAGGCATTCAACACCTCCTTAAGACCTGCCTCTGCACACAGGCCTTCCCTAAAGCCTGAGCCACTTTAAATGCACATACTGCATCTTGCCAGTCTGCGTCTTGTTGGGCTTGGTGTGTCTCCTCATCTGTGGTGCCCTGTGAGCGGAGAGCTGCAAAAGCAGAAAGCAGGCAGGGACGATTGCAGTAGAGCCACATGCACTGTCCGTGAACACGCCTGCTTTCTCGGCAGCCAGTGCGATTCCTCCTTGCTCCAGTAATCCGAGACTTCTTAGGGTGACCAGAATGGAAGTCGTTTACCCTTTCTTGCAACCATCAATTTGTTTCATTTCTTATAGACCTTATTCCCTTGGATGTGACTAGCACACCTATGAGCGTATCACTCCATGCAGCACCTGAACTTTTCAAGTGGTGGCAGGAGGAGGCCAAAGCCATCAAGGCAAAACACATCGAGTAAGGTCTCTTCTGGCACCACTTTTAGGCAGAACCAGCAGGCCTGTGCCCACTCTTTCCTGTGCTTGCTTTTCAGGGGCTTCTAGTAAATGGAATTCACTCAATTTCACCTTCCTGCCATTTGTGGAAGCATCTTCATTTTGCCACTCAGCCTCTGTTCTCACACATGCCAGTGGGATCTATTAGGTTGTCAGGCACAAGAAATTAGGTTTTCTGTGGCGGGTCCATTGTAATACCATCGCACTAATGGAATATGGGCTTCCATCTGTTTGTCCGCCCGTCCGTCCTTCCACCTTAAAAACCTGGAGGTTCAGGTCAGTTTTTAAATGAATGGATGCCAATCTTTATATTGTACATTTGAGTTTTTATTCTTTCTCTTATTTAAACCATTAATGCTATTGTTTAAGCTAATTTTATATGTTACAATTTCTATCTTATAAACTGGCTTGAGGTATGCCATATGTTTGGCAGGGCCTATTGGCACCACTGAAAGTGGGTGAAGTGGATGGTGAGTTGTGGCCAGGGGGTTTTATGACCTGGTGGCCAATGCCTGGAGAGGGGTTGGGATTATTTCTCCTGCCCCTTGAGGTCGCCACATCGTCTAAGGTCCATCTCTGTATTCCCCCCAAAGCCTGAAGGAACAGGCGGCTATGCTTTTGCATCTGTGGAGGGGCCACCACAAATACAGCTGGGTCTTCTTCACTTCCAAGTTTCTGCTGAGCATGCAGGGGTCGGGGGAGCTGGGGCATGTGGGTATTCGGGTGGAGGGGAGCTGGTGAGATCTGTTGCATTAGCACAGGGCCACATGGTGAGATCTTGTTGCACCCATGCTGATCGCTAATGCTTGCGTGAAGGGCATGTCTTGAAGTAGAGCGGCCCCTGCCGTTGATGCTTGTTGCAGTGGCCAGTGGTTCTGGTGCTTGAAGGGAGTCATCTGGCCAGGGACACAGGGGCCCGGCAGCCTTGCGACAGCCAGTGGAGCCATTCAGGTGCAGAAATGATGTGAAATGGGCTGTGTGCACTTGCTTGCTCGCTCACTTGGTGTAGTAGGCAGCATGGGCCTGCTGCTTCCCTGTTTCCTGCATCCTAAAGTCCCCTGCGGGGAAGACACCTTCTCCAAGGATAGACGGAGCGTTGGGCTGACACATGCCCTGCTCTATGCCAAATACTTCCCAAGTCTCTAAGAAGCACCACGACACTGCGGCAAGCCGCCATTTTAATCTCTTGCCATGCCACAAAGAGTGCTGCTCTGGGGAATTGTGGGAAATTAGCATGGGTGTTCTCAGACTCACAAGAGGGCTGCTGGTCACCCACACAGACAGGTAAGCCTAGGAATATAGGAAGCCTCTGTGTACAGGATCAGGCCCGTGGTTCCTCTAGGTCAGTACTGTCAACATTGATCGGTTGAAAAAGAGAGGTAGAGCTGGGTACCATCAGCATACTGATGGTTCCTCAGCCCACACCTCCTAATGACCTCTCCCAGCGGTTTCATGTAGATGTTAAATACAGAATGGATCCCTGTGGTACTCCGTGGCATAGCTGCCATGGCGCAGAGCCATAGTCCCCCAGCACCACCTTCTGGAACTGACCATTGAGATAGGAGCGGAACCACTACAAAGCAGTGCCTCCTACTCCCAGTCCCGCTAGCCTATCCAGAAGGATACCATGGTTGATGGTATCGAAAGCCGCTGAGAGATCCAGGAGAACCAACAGGGATGCACTCCCCGTCCTTCTCCCTGCACAGGTCATCGTACAGGGCGACCAAGGCAGATTCAGTACTGTACCCGGGTCTGAAGCCAGACTGAAATGGGTCTAGATAATCAGTTTCATCCAAGAGTGCTTGGAGTTGTCCCGCCACCACCACTCTAACACCTTGCCCAAAAATGGGATATTGGCCACTGGTCTATAATTGGGGGCCATCTATGGATCCAGGGATGCCTTCTTTAGGACTGGCCGGACTACCGCCTCATTTAAAGGAGCAGGTACCTGACCGTCCCTCAGAGAGGCATTGACAACTTCCAGGATCCAGGTCCCTATCCCATGCTTGGCATTGTTCAGTAGCCAAGATGGGCAAGGGTCCAATAAGCAGGTGGTGGGACGTACTTATCCAAGCACCTTGTCCACCTCATCAGGCTGCAGTAACTGGAACTCATCCATCAATTTTGGACCAGACGGCGACATTGGCACCTCCCCTGAAGGCTCTGAGTCACTAGCAGAGTCCAGCTCGTGATGAATCTGAGCGATTTTCTGCTTAAAATGCTTGGCAAAGTCATCACAGTGGGCCTTCGAGGGTGGTATAGGGTCTTTCTTAGGACCTGGATAAACCAGCCCTTGTACCACCCTAAAGAGCTCTGCCGAACAGCATTGTGAGGCAGCAATGGAAGCGGAGAAGAATTACTTTTTTGCCGCCCTCACCACCACAGCATGGGCTCGATAATGAGCTCTCAAGTGTGTTTGGTCAGATTCATCCCATGATTTCCTCCACCTATGCTCACCTCCCAGCCCGCTTCATCACCCATAATTCCTGTGTGTACCAGGGGGATGAACGGGCTCTGCCCGGTGGGAGAGGACACTTAGGAGTGATCGTGTCAATAGACACGATCGTGTCAATGGGGGGTCATTTCCCCATTCCATAGTTCAACCAGAGCATCGACAGGAGCACCAGCCTTGTCAATCAGAAATTCCCCAGGGCCTTCAGGAATCCATCCGGCTCCAAGGGCGGACCAACACAATCGGGTCCGCACCCTTACAGAGGGAAAGGCCGCTCTCGAGCTCAGACCTCACGAGGAAGTGATCTGACCATGACAGGGGAGTCAGACATAAATTCCTCACCCTCAGATCTCCCTCTTCCTGCCCCGTCGAGAAAACCAGGTCCAGAGTGTTTCCACATTCATGGGTCGGGCCAATGACGTGTTGAGACAGCCCCATGGAGGCCATGAAGTCCTGAGCCACCCCGGTTAGAACAGTCTCGGCATGGAGATTGAAGTCCCCCAGGACCAGCATCCTGGGGATCTTCAACACCCGGTCCGAGATGATCTCCCATCAACTCAGGCAGGGAGTCTGTTGGGCAGAAGGGTGCGTGGAACACCAACAGAATCCCCAATCCCCTTTGCGGCCAGTGAGTCTCAAGCACAGCTGCAGAGTCAGACGTTTCTCCCCATCCCACATCCAGCAGTATTTTCTGTAGTTTCATATTTTTTTTAAACACACGCATGCACACGCACACACCCCAAGTGGGGGGACACGCTTTAGCTCTATTATAAAGATTTCTGTCTCCCTCCTAGCACCTACAACCAGATTCCCATGCTGTGTTTCTAAGAGCCAGGTCACCCTAAGCCACCCCTCCAGCTCCCTCTTTCCCTCGATGCCTTCTTTTGCTGCAGGGAAGCCTTCCCCATCGCTCTCCCATGCACGGCTGTGGCACTGGGGCAGAGCCCCAGGCAGCCTCTTTGGGCTGCTCAGAATGCAGCCCATGCAAGATTGCGAACCATTCACCAATGTGAAGGTGTCGCCGCAAGAGCCCCGGAGCTGCGGCACTATTGTAATAGCAGGGCAGAAGGGAAGGTCATAGAAACATACCGAGAGATTACAAATTTGTGCTCAAGCTTCTGACAAATGCAAAGCCCAGTGTGCGCACATGTAACAAGTTGATATCTTTCCAACCTGACACTTTAGAGACAAAGAGTAGAGAAAGTCCGTGTGTTTAAGAACCTGGCTTAGTCTCCAGTGAACCTTGGCTGAAATTAAGCCCCGGAGCCAAGAAGCACTTCAGAAGGGCTTGGGACACAGGGATGCGCTGCCCCAGCAGCAATGCTACAGGCCCTGGCATCTCTGGGATGTCATTCCAATGACCCACAGTGCTGAACAGCCTCATTTTCTGTTAGCTGAGCTTGCAAATCTGTTCTATTTATTTACTGGAATGCATGCATGCATTCACGGTCTTGCACGCATCCACAGACTTCCATATTTAATTCCACACAGTTAAACATTTTAATCAAAACACCAATT